GGGTTGTCGTGCGCCAAGGTTGTCGTGCGTTTGCGGTGCAATCACTATTTTCATTCCACTTGCATCAAAGCATGGCTGGTGTCTTGGCACGACGAGAAGCCAGGTGTGGTAGGTTTTGACCTTGTGGTTTGTTGGAAGGTATTGGAAAAGGATGTAACAGGTCTGATGTGTAGACTTGACAAGCGACAAGCCCATACACTTAAGCACACGATCGAACATTCACTAGGGTATATTTATATATGGGAAGTGTGTCAATCTTTGAATGGCACGGCACTGCTTCTTCTCTTGTCTTGACTCCCCTTGAACCTAGTTGCTTGTTCGTGCAGGTTGAGCACAGGCCATCCTTTCAAGTCATACTTTGGATTATTTTACACACTGTTTATGTATTCTCTTTCAATCCAAAGTATGATGCAAAACGCTGCCCCTGGTCTCCTGCTTGTGCAGACGATTGCAGACGTATATTATCTTACTGTATATTCATTTGTTGGTCGTTTTCTCGGCAATGCCAACAAAAAGCAAGTTGAAGGCTCGACACCAACTTCAGCCCTCAAAAACAACTTCTACTGCTGATAACATGTTGGCTTCTAAAATCCTTTCTACCGGAACCATTTGAGCACCTCGTGTACACTTCTCGTTTTGTGCGTCCTGTTTCAAGATCCGCACTCCCCCCGTCCCACATGGGACGTCTTGCGCAGCAAAAAGTAGGAAAAACCGACCCATTGGCCGGGACCCGTCACCTCAGCTGGGGGCCAAAAGCTATCGATCATGATATGCGCCGATTCCACTCGTCCCCATTCCATCGGTTCTCTCCCAAGGTGAGGTGGTCCAATGATCCTTGGTTCGCGGCTTGTAGAACGTGGACGATTGTTGCCTCGACATAGCACCGATCACCGCCAGTTCACGTCCAGGTAGTGCATCTCCGGGTTCAGGTAGATGACCAGGATGAAGAGCTGAAGTCCCCCACGTTGGCGTTCTCGATTAGCAGGAGATAGTTCCAACCTTTGTGGGAGAATGGGCAACTGACCAAAGGCACGCCAGGATGGAAGACCGCTGGGTATCCTTGAGGATATGGACCCTGAAGCATTGGCCATCCAGGGATCTGCTCTCTTAGTTGAGCTTGAGCCACATCCACCGCACCATCGCCTCCACCACCAAGAAGAGCTCCACCAGGTAGAGGAGGAAGTAGTCCAGCCAGCATGGTTCCCAGAGGTGGGTCCAGTTGCGGTTGACCACCATCCGTGATTGCCATCCGAGGATCAGTCCTCGCACCAGCCGGCGTCTTCTCAGCTGCTGTCTGCCTTGTGCTCTTCACCAACGCCGGTCTTCCAGCACTGGGTTCTGCACTCTGTGTTCGACGTGCTGGGGTCTGTTGCGCCAGCAGCTCATCAAGCCTCTCATCAGCCGTCTGCTGCCGCTCTTTCGAAGCCGACCTGCGCCGGCTCAGCAACGACATGGCGTGCTAGGTCAGGACCGCTTAGGCTCATAACCCATGCTTCACAGAAAGCGGGGTCTTTTTCTTGAGCCAAATGTTCAGGCGTTGCCTGGTCTCTTGAGTGCGCCTCGTGTACACTTCTCGTTTTGTGCGTCCTGTTTCAAGATCCGCAGAATCGAATGCAATGGTATTACATGGCAGGCATGCGAATTGTCGTGAATGGCATGGCATGATCGACCCAAAAAAACAACAAATTCATTTAGTGACGAGTAGTTGACCAGTGGGTGACTGGTTTTGACTGGTTTTGACAGGTGTTTTCCGTGCTCACCTGTCAGATTTTGCTCGCACCATCTCGCACCAAGGTCTTTTACAGCAGCAGGTGTCCTTTGTGCAATGCAATTGAGATGACTTGATCAAGCAAATCGAGGTTGTAGTCAGACATGCGCGCAACAACGGTATCGTTGAAACTTTGTGTTCCCAACTTGGGAAACTTTGAATGGCGGTATCCTTGCAGGCAGTCCCTTTACTGTCGGCTAGAAAGCCTTGACAGAAGAGGACAAAACTTTTTATCCGCTGATTTCAATTCTGCAGTTGTGGGGTGGAGGCCGCGGAGGCCCAATTTCAGAATCGTATGGTTTTGTTTTGGTGTAGTTCACCTGTGCGTGGCACAGCCAGCTGGTTTTCACAGTGTACAATGTTCTCCCAGCCAGCCACAGAAAGGAAGAGTCCGATCCTGTAACCCCGCCAACGCGCGAAATTCGTAGATTCAACATTACAAAGAACTTTGTCTTTAGAAACGCCATGGAGCCCTTGTCGAAGCTTGTCCAAACCCGGTCATTTTAGGGATTTCCTTATGATTTCTTCATTTCTCTCTGTGTCTGGTGGTCCAACTTGTTAGAACGGTTTCACCCCACCACCCCACCACCCCACCAGAACGGTTTCTCGCTTTCTCCGCCTCCCTTGCCGTCGTTCGTTCGTGCCCCGGTGGTCCCTCCGGTCCCTCTCAGTGGACGCGGGGCACGTGGAGCGCGTGGTGGCGCTCAGCTCGGGCGAGGCGAGTCGCGTCTCCATGTCGAAGGTTCAACAGAAGAAAGATGTGGCCTGGTTTCTTCAGCATGACTTGGTTTTTCTTCCGGATTTTTTGGAGTCGGAGTTGAGAATGAGACGCCGGGTGATTTGTGAACAACTCACTGGACGTACGAAGCTGATTCAAGACATTTTCGCCTCCCCAACCTCGTGGGTCTTCATCCGCGCGCCGGAGTCCCCCAGTGCACTTCGGTGAGGCCAATCCAGTGACCCATCATGCGGCTTTGGAGGCGGGACGAGTACTTGGTGGCGAGAGCATGTTCATACTCCACACTGCAACCCTTTTCATTCCCCAAACAGGTTTACCTGTGAGGGGTTCTTACTCCTTTTAAAGGGGTGCATGCTCGGGCCGGATGATTTTGAGTTTGTCTCCGGGCTTGTGTTCCTGGCCGCATGATTTCACCCTTGTCTCCCACTTGTCTCCCACTTGTCTCCCAGTAAGCTCTGGATGCTCTCAGTGCTCTGGCCGCATGATTTTATACTTGTCTCCCATTTGTCTCCCACTTGTCTCCCAGTTGTCTCCCAGTAAGCTCTGGATGCTCTCAGTTCTGGCCGCATGATTTCACACTTGTCTCCCATTTGTCTCCAACTTGTCTCACACTTGTCTCCCAGTAAGCTCTGGATGTTCTGAGTGCTTGGCCGCATGATTTCACACTTGTCTCCCACTTGTCTCCCAGTAAGCTCTGGATGCTCTGAGTGCTCTGGCCGCATGATTTTATACTTGTGTCCCATTTGTTTCCCACTTGTCTCCCACTTGTCTCCGAGTAAGCTCTCCATGCTCTGAGTGCTCTGGCCGCATGATTTCACACTTGTCTCCCACTTGTCTCCCAGTAAGCTGAGAGCATCCAGAGCTTACTGGGAGAGAGGAGACAAGTGGGAGACAAATGGGAGACAAGTATAAAATCATGCGGC